CCCAATCCGATCCATCAAACCCAGGACCAGCCGGAACCGCCACCGGACGCGATCTCGCTCCGCCCACTTGGTCGAACTGGCACCGCTTCCTCGCTCTCGTCTCTCCCTGTTATCAACCACGACAACAAGGACATGCCCTCTCCGCCGCCCAAGTCGGACAAGTTCGTGCCGCCGCACCTCCGGCCTGGGTTCGTGCCCAGGGAGGAGAGCCCACCTGGGCCGGGCTCTCTTCGGCCCAACGGGCGGCCCAAGTCTGGGGGTGGGCATGAGAAGATGAGAAGGGGTGGGCAGGATGCGGGGATCATGGGCCGCGGGAGTCGGCCCAATTCCAGTGGATGGTATGTTAACGTCGTTGCTTGTTTGTTCTTTTTTATCAATTGTTTTTGGTTTGATCGTTGTCGTTTTGTGGTGGTAGGCATCACCAACACCATTGACAATATTGTTCAATTGTTTTTTACTTGGACTATGTATGAATGATTGGATTATTACGTGCTTTGCTGGATTAGAATTTTGCTTGGCCTTTTCAGAGTTTTGATGAAGGTATTAGAAGAAAATGAAAGGCATATTCTCCTTAAATTAAATATTATGTGTTAAATTGTAAAAGCCATTTCTTATTAGTTTTGCAAAATCTGATTTTTAACTCATGCAAACTATTTGTAATTTACAAAAGAAATCTATTTCTTTTCTTCTTTGAATGCTTACAAAAGTTTCTTGTAGACAAATCTTCAATAAAGGTTTGCATCTGAACGGTGAACGTTGTAATAAAACTGTTTTCTGTCCTGTTTTTGATTTTCAATTGGTAGGTAGAGGATCAGATGAATTAAGCAATTAGTTTTCTAAAAGTTCTATAATCTAATGGTGACGAAGTAATAAAAAGGCTTTAGAAGAAGAACCAAAGTCGTTTCTATTATTATGAACTGCTTGTTTACATTTTACCCTCTGGTTCTTCATCGTAGTGGAGTTGAGCATATTTTTTAAGGAACAACGTATTGGTATACTGATCATGCTGCATATGGATAGTGGGTTTATGATCAATTTGTTTGTACGGTTAATTTATTACACCATCTAAACTCTCCATATCTATATTTTACTTTGAGTAAATGAATTGGGTAGCTAGATTTTTGCTATATTCAATTTTTCATTTAATATTTTTGTCCACAATAGGTAAAAGGGTATCCTAGTAGTACGACAAACTGTGGACTTTGTTGGTCATACTGTGCATGAATGAGATATTCAATTTTTAGTCAGTTTTCGCGTGGCTTTGACAAAAATGTGTTTTGTGCAGAATGGTTATGAAGTTGAATTCTTTTCCGAGGACGAAGACGAACACATTTTACTACAGAGACGTGTTCTCTATACCAATTCAGTGCTCTTTGTCTCTCTGGAACTGACATCAATTTTCACAAGGCATCTCAAATCACCGAAGACGAAAACTGACCAGGTTGCAGATTTTCAACACATAACGTCCCAACCAATAGCCAAATTTGTAGGCTTTTAACACCCAAGTTCTTCTGTTGGTGTTTGGCCCTCTTTAACACGTGCCAACACAGTGTAGAATTCATACCCATATTTTCAATTTCTGGCTAAACTTTTTTTCTTACTGTTCTGAAAGACATGCCTTCTGTACTTTGAGCATATGTTTTACAGGAGGTCCCATCGTTTTTTACTGTTGTGTTGTATTTGTTTCAGATTGAATGTTATTTCAGCCAAGGTCCGTTCATTCATTAGTTAGACACACTACCTTGTTTTTTTATGTTCCTATAAATGCTTTACACATGAGATTTTCCACCCAGTGAAAACTGGAAAAGTGTACCTAAACCATAGGTGATCACCAATAATAGATTAAACAGTCAGTGACTACTGCTGCTGCATTTTAAGTTGGAAATTGTAGATGAAGCCCACAGTTATTTTTTATGATGTTGATTGTTTCCTTAGTATGTCATTGCATTTTTTTTATTGTAAAATCGTGAGGTCATTGTCAGAAGTCATTGCCATTTTTTTAGCCGTCCAATTGTCTGCCATTTTCATCAACATTGTTAATCTTTGTCAACCAAAGTTCTGTTTGAGTTTCTGAAGTCTTTTTTGATTTTTTGCATTCAAACAAAATCCTGACGTCACGCTAGTACTGAGTGATGATTATCCATATCTATAAATGTAAAATATCAAACTTTACACGCTACTTTTGGTATTATCTTTGTTATGATTAAATGAAGTGGTTTTGATTTATTCTGAAGTAGGTTTAGCTTCTTCTATTTCTGATGAGTAAAATATTGAAATAGATAGAGACTACCCTCATGCACCAACGCATTGGTAAAAGTGGTGTCATGCGAGACATAGACAGTTTAAAAATAATGTTATGTCATTAAAATTATTGTCTAAACCTTCTACGCAAGTCCTCAAGTTGCCTCTTCATCTTTTTGATTTCAGCACCTCTAACTAATATAAAATAATTCTCAAGTAATTAACTTTCCACTGTAATTATTTAATAAAGAATAGATTGTTAGCTAAACTTCTATATAGTTTATATTTGAATTGAGTTTTATCACAAACATTTTAAACTCTTGCATTTATGTGAATTTTATTGTATTTTTAATTTTAGAGCATTTTATATCTCTCTGAGAGTTTTCTCTAATTTTAAATGATTTAATGGCGTGAAATGAATGAACACTAACATAATTTCGCATTGAACTAAATGCATACTTCCTTTACTTAATTACACAGGTCGCTATTTTTTATTTTTTTTACTTATGCACATCTTGTCATTGAGTTTCGAATTTTCCCATTTAGCTTTCCAATATAAACACAGAATATCTTCCTTAAATATGTCAAATTTTCGACCACGTAAGCTAGGTAACTTCATACAACTTAAATCAATGAAATTCAATGATACTTTTGAAAGAAAAACTCAGAAACAATATTACTTGATAATGCACTGTTTTAAATATCATAAATGAGCATTTAATATTGTTTGTATTGTTCTTTGATATTTTCTCCCAATTAGGATCAATCCAAAAAGAAAGCTTTAAGAATGTTTTTTAAAATATCTCACATAATTAAAAGAGACTAAGTGACAAGAAGTGCAAAATTCTAAGAGAGGAAAATATCTAGCATAGCAATTTTAAAAGATACATCATAGTTAAGAAGAAGTCTCACTCACAATGTCTCCATGTTATATGAGAGGATTATTCCTAGTGGATGATTAAAGTGCATATGTACATTAAACTCACACTCTATAATTCATGGAACATCATAACAAAATGTGCTATTATTGTATTGAGACTCGATGTAGAATAGTTACAAGAATACTACAACATTCATGTAGTTACTCAACAAAGTCAAATGTTATATGCTTTTTCTAAAAATAAATAAACAATTCATATAAGTTGAAAATTATTATGGAGATATGATAATTTATACGTACCAACTATGAAGGATATGAAGATGAAGATGTCCAATTCATAAAATTTATTACTCTCGCCATGCAATATGAAAGTCTCACCATTATGGAGGTTGAGACTCTAAACAACATTTTTAAATGTAGATTCTACTTAATAAATTGGAAATATTAGGACATACCTCTTAGACACAAATCAACTTAAGATATTAAATATTTTTTTATACTCTAATAGTCTCACATTGCTTAATAATCATGATCATATATAATTCACATACACATTTCTCCTTTAATCATTTGATATACTTTTTAAGACAAAAATCTTGAGAAAATTATATGTTTTAAAGTCTATCAATACTTTAAATATAATTATTGATTCTAACATGCCAACTTGAGATTTGAACAAATATGTTTAATGTGTGGTAACCCAAAACTATAACTAACCCAATAGGGTATGTAACTTGAAGACATATTGATATAAGATGGACTCTTAGATATTCTAATGGTTCATGAAGTTTTTCTTTAGGTCAAATTCAACAAAAATAAATGCATATAAAGTTTTGGAGATTCAAGCAAACAAGAGAAAAAAAAATTGTTGTCCTAAGGAAAGATGTTCTACTACAGTAACAGGAAGAAAAATAGTTTAATGTTATTTTGAAAAGATTCTACCAAGATAATACAACTTAGAAGAAAAAAAAGCGAATCTGTATCCTTTGACACATAGAAAGTGAAACTGAGATAACAGTTCTTAAAATATTCTTCTTCTTCTTCGTTTCTTGCTTCTTTTTCCTTTTCCTTTTCTTCTTCATCTTAAAAAAAATGGAAAATTGAGCTTACCTTCCTTTAAATTACACACTCCCTTTTATATTACAACATACACTCACTTATACCTCATTTATACTTTTAATAAAATAAATAAATGACAAATAAACTTATATTCGTAGATATTATTCAAATTTGTTTAAATGTTAATGGAGAATACTCATATTAATAAGATATTAGTATCATTATGAGTAATATCTGACTGTTTAAATCAAATACAAAATGATAATATTTATCTTACTCTTATCCTCATACTTTAAAATTAGTAAAACACTTTATTTTTATTTGGTATTCTATTTTAATATTTTTGCAATTATATTTATAATATAATTTTGAAAAAAGACATTTTGTGTGATTTTCATAAAATACATAAACAAAATATTTAATAATTTAATTTAATATTTTATAATTTAGTGCAAAGAAGAAATATAATTTTTATAATAATTTGAGAACTGAAATCATATTTAATTTTTTTTTAACTTTTATCAATAAAAAATATTAAAAACCAAAGTTAAAATTCACCAAATTTTCAAGGACTATCAAACAGTTTAAACCTGTATTATTTTTTGATCATGTAACTCTGTTTTCTTTATCGATCACCATGTCCAGATAAATAAGACAGAAGAAGGAAGATATTTGAATATAGAAAACCTGTATTATGATCAAAATGAAGGGCTGTTGATGTGAATAGTATGCGTGAGCAACCAAAAATTGAAGAAAATAAAACAATGGGTCGACAGAACATCCTGTTATAGTGCATAATCAACGCCTTTTGTATATCAAACAAACTATGTGGAACAGCATCCACTCTTTTTAACAGCTGAAACATCCTCTTTGGTTCCAAGAACAATGGTTTCCCCTTTGGGCAAGGATGTTGCATGAGATTCATCCACTGTCTCAAGTGTTTTCCTACTCACAACATTGTATATCTGAGTCAGCACTTCTGTAAAAGCACTGTCCACATTCAAGGACTCAAGGGCAGAGGTTTCCATGAAGAATATCTTCTCTTTTTCTGCATATTCTTTGGCTTCATCAGTTGACACTGCACGCAAATGTCGAAGATCTGCCTTGTTTCCCACCAGCATCACCACAACATATGCTTCTGTGTGGTCCCTAAGCTCCTTCAACCATCTCTCAACGTTCTCAAACGTCACGTGTCGAGTTACATCGTACACAACCAAAGCACCAACTGCTCCTCGGTAATATGCACTTGTAATAGCACGATATCTGTGGTAAGGTAAACAGAAAAAGGACTTTTAGTTTTCATTTACCAGTCACAAATCATAGGAAATGTAAGGTTCAGGAATAGTCATATATACAGATTTATGGAGTTTAGATTAGCAAGTACAACGTGGTAGATTTGAAAATAAAAACATTGCAAGTTTATCAGTCTAAGACTTTTGTACAATGTGTTGACCAAATTCAATTGCAGTATTTGGCAGATGAAAATATACTAAAGAATGTTGTTAAATCGCACTTCTTATACCAGTAGTAAATTTAAGTAATCTGCTAAGAATCACTTAATTATGTATTTGATTAAATTAGAACTTCGTGCTCCTAAAATAATAGAGGACCCTGCATTTAACTGGTCAATGACAGAGGACTCTGCATCTCTTCATTTCAACAAAGATTTTATATACAAAGATTAACAACACGTGGAAATCAAATCACTTGTCTCCTTTTCAATGAGAAAATATTGTCTTTCTTGATTTTTGCAGAGAATTTTGCACGCATTCACACATTTGGCAATTTTAGAATTGTTGGATCAAGATCGGATCACTAATATTTCATCAAGATAAATCAGCATTGTAATACACATTAGGAATGTGAGTTGTCCACTCTCGATATGCTTCGCGTTATGTAAATAAATATCCAGCAATTCCGGAGAAAAAGGTGTTATTTTTCAATTGAAAAGATAAAGAAAGAGACACGTGATCCCAATCCAAATATATGCATGTTTTTCGTAGATAGAACAACAGATCCTGTCAGACAAAGAAACCCTGACAAATTGAACAAACTATAACTTTTTCATGTCTTGAACACCTTCCCTGACCAACAGCAACCATATATTACAGAACACAGTCAAATCAGGCCTCAGTTCTTCGATCAGTGACCTGATCACACGATCAAAACCAAGAACCCCACAAAGATCCAACTATTCAAATGCAAAACTAAGACAACCCATCAAGATTAAATTAAAGCAAGAATGACATGCATATCGAGAAAGCGCAAAAGGTGAGACCTTTCTTGGCCCGCGGTGTCCCAGATTTGAGCCTTGACGAGTTTGCTATCGACGGGGACACTGCGGGTGGCGAATTCGACGCCGATGGTGGATTTGGTCTCCAAGCTGAACTCGTTTCGCGTGAATCGAGATAAGAGGTTGGACTTTCCAACGGCAGAATCACCGATGAGGACGAGCTTGAACAAGTAGTCATAGTCTTCGTCGGCACCCATTGAGTTTGGGTGAAGGAAAAGCAATGGAGGGTGAAAGAAAGGAAATTGATTTCAGGGAGTAAACGGGTGAGTTTATTATATGTTGTAAATTGCTGAGCATTGTGGTTATAGCAGACACGGATGGAGAGAGAGAGAGAGAGAGAGAG